AGAGAGAGGAGAGAGAGAGAGAGAGAGAGAGAGAGAGAAGAGGGAGGAGAGAGGAGAGAGAGAGAGGAGAGAGAGAGAGAGAGAGAGGAGAGAGAGAGAGATATATATATATATATATATATATATATATATATATATATATATATATATATATGTGTGTGTGTGTGTGTGTGTGTGTGTGTGTGTGTGTGTGTGTGTGTGTGTGTGGGGGTGGGTGTGGGGGTGGGTTGTGGGTGTGGGTGGGTGTGGGTGTGGGTGTGGTGTGGGTGTGGGTGTGGGTGCTGGGTGTGGCGTGCTGGGTGTGGTTGTTGGTGTGGGTGTGGGTGTGGGTGTGGGTGGTGTGTGGGTTGCGTGCATTTTGACATGCTCCCAACGGCCAGCACACCCTTTTCGACGCCAGACACCAACGTGGCGCGCATACCGCTGGCCCGCAAAGAACATGGCGGTCAGGCCAAACCCCCGAAGACAGATACCCTCAGGCTTCGTTCCGGTGCGCAAAACCCCCTCGCCCTACCTTGTTGGCAATAGCACTATGTGCTTCTTTCGCCACTGAGTTTTCTGATGTGTTACTTCTGGTTGCACTTCATCTTAATTTGTGCACCAATCATTCGGCGTCTGTCTCTCCTTCCATAAGTACTATACGACGCGGCCTCCACTCTCCGGGCTTCACGGTTGCATTGCATTCAGAAAAGCAATTCCAACGCCGCCACTAATGCAAGTGTACGTCGTGCAGCAATTGCTTTGCTTTGAAGGCTCTAGGCTTTCTCATACAGGGTCCAGTTATTATGTCGCCGTTCTCTATTTGCCCTTTCTGAGAAACATCAGGCCCCAATTTCGCGCGTTGCACAGCAGCAAATCAGCGTCATCGTGTAGTTTATTCCGGCGCCCAGCGCGCCGACTGTATAGCCAGTCAGCCCAATGCATCAATACCCTAGACAGGACGACTATGCGGGAAACCTGGCACTAACAATATGAGCTTGAGAAGAAAAAAAAACATGTAAAAAGACGCGATCCCCTTCTAACTCGGCGGAAGGGTGGACCACCGAGGAATGACTGCCGATGGCCAGACAGCAAACAGCGTAGCTCCGACAGCATGACCTTATTTCCAACTCCGCAGTCGCGCCATATATCCCACTGGCCGTTCCGCTCCGAGGCAATCCAATACCACAAAAAGTCGTCCGTGGACGTCTGGGCCGCGTGAACGTGACACTCCATCCCGCCTCGTCGTCACCAACTTCGGCTCCCCTGCGCACTACCCACGCTCGCCGCATCGACGGTCCGGCGGCATTGCAAGCCTATCGATTGCGGTCGGGCGGTCCAATTAGAAGGCCCGCCGAAGTCGACGGCGCCGGCCGCCGGACGTAACGACGCCGCCGCGCGGCGATGCACGTTGCTGATTGATGTCCGCGTCTGGCTTCGCGTTGCATTCAGCGACAGTGGCAGGGCCCCGCCGCGGCCCGCGACGGTGGGCGGTCAGGGAGGGGCGTGGGGCGGGTCGGCGGCGGGTCGGCCCACACGCCGACGGCGCCACGTGCGACCCAGGAACCGCGAGGAATGGACGCTTCAAGTGCTCCGCAGTGTCCGCTGATGGAATTGGCGGCGGTGTCTATTTTTGACGGGGTACGCCAGCCGCCTCGCGTGCAGGACCGCGCTGCGCGAGGCGCGCCGCGCGCTGGCCGCCGCTCACGACGCCGGCGGCCACCGAGCTCGCCGCGGCCGGTGTGTTGATGTCGGACGTGCCGCTTGCTGCTACGCGCCGTTTCTCGAGGCACAATGGCCACCGTTACACGCATTGCACGGCGTGTCGCCGCTGGCGGCGTACATGGCGCGGCGGCCATGCGCGCCTTCATAATGAGTTGTGACGTCATGACTCCCCATGACTCGCAGGCAGCGCCATTTCGGAGTTCAGTACGCCAGCCACACATGTGCATTTGAGCGCTTGCCCAAGGCTTGTCAATTTCGGTCGGCCGGAATGCAGAGGAGGGCGTGGTGGGCGTTCATGGGCATTGCCCAAATGGCTGTAACTCAGTTTTCTGGCGTGTGGGAATGGCTTGTATGACTACAACCCGTGCACGCTGTACGAATGAGCGTGTGAAATATAACTACACCCTGTATACAGCATTGTTCTTTCATGACTATAACCTGTGAATTTTGTTTTAAAAGGCACTTTAATCTTGGGTTTCACTGTGCATACCAGACGGTAGAAGACTGCAATTTCAATAATGTGCATAATCCATTTTTTCACCGATCACTACCAGCGACTTAATATTTCAAGCACCCCAGCCTGTGCTGGGAACGCCCAGGTCTCTTCGGTGACTCCAGGGTAGTGTTCACCAGCTAACTCATATCGATAGCCCCGCAAGCGTGCCGTTAGCTGGAGCGAATGTCCTTCGAACAGATTACCCATCAGTACTATCAGCACATTGCGAACACTACAATGCCGGCGACCATTGCACAGGCAATATATCCGTTTCCTTGCCAACCCCAGCTGACATCCACTCAACAATGATTTGGAAGCGGGAAGCTGCTGTGTCTTGTGAAGCTTACACAAATGATTTCTTAACACCGTGCGGTTTATATCGTCAGGCTTCCTCCGAAGAGGTGACTGTCGGGAAGAGAAAAGTACCTTACGCACCCATGCAAGGAAAATAAGGCTGACTTGGCTGCCAGTCACACTCAGTCTTCGACAAGATGCTATGTCTCGTTTGAGCGTCGCCAGATATACCCTATTCAACGCACCTGCCCAAAGAATGCGATTGTCCCACCCGCCCATGCTGCCTATTTCTTATAAGTGTCCTTATAGAATCTGAGTTATCTCGTCAAGCTCTGGTTTGTCTCCGTTGCTCAATGATCTGTGGCACGCACAAGTCGTTACTGCCCTGGTGATGGGTTTTATTTCCGTCATCCCTTAGTGGTGTATCTGCACCATTACGGCCACTGAATCATGGAATGAGGAGAAAAATGTTGGGTTATAACTGTTTCAAGCCCAAATGCGTTTTACACTGCTGTCATAACTCATTACGCATCCGCTGGGATATCAGTTATCTATAAAACTAGAAGAGCACCCATTGAATGTGACCGTAAACACCCCCATGAAGCACTTCCACGCCGATTTCCTTTTCTTGGCAAGTGACGCACGTGCTTTTGCGTCACCCAGGCACTGTCTCTGACCGGCTTACAACCTAAATTTAAAAATCGGCGTTGGCCCGTGTGGCGACTCCAGTACTAAGATTTTTGGCTTGGACTCAGTGGCGGACAGTGTTTGCTTTAGCAGAGTGGAACTCGTGGGCGAGCGCCGTCCAATAGCTGCCTGTTCACCGCGGTGACTCTTCCTCTGGCGGCAGCGGCTGGCGGAGTTTCGGGGAGTATCGCGCGCCCAGCGCTTACATTGCCGCTTTCGTGGCGTCCGCGGTGATGTGGTGACGTGGCGACGTGGCCGCCTGCGCCGTCGCCTCCGTTACTGCGTTACTGCGGTACGTCACGCGCCATGACGCGCTGTCGCCCCACGGTCTGTCGAGAGCGACACGCACGATCGCTCGGCGCTTATGGACGCCACACTGGCCCAGGGGACCGTCGCGGAGCCGGTCGTCCGCCGCCCAGCATGCCTCTGCCCTATCCCTTCGAACTGAGGAGTGGTAAGCGGTGTATGGACTGATGAGAAAAAACAATGGTCGAAAAAATAATGTCTGCACTTACACCGAAATCAGCACGATAGATGTGCGCGGCAGCGTTTCCTGATAACGTGGACCTGGAAGTTAGTCTGCACAAAGGCCGACATCCACACCATGTACTGCCCACGCGTGTGCTGTTTCAGACGTGGGAGTTTCCCATCGTTTCATATAGTAGGGCGCCAACGCAGTGCGTAATGCAACGAAGCGTACAATCCCATCGGTGCGGGAGGGCTTTCCCGCTTGCCCAGTCAATACACCGTCGGGTGGAAGGTACTGGCGCACGTTCTTGTGCCGGCGTCAGTTTTGGCGCGAAGTAGTTGTGTAATATGTCTCGGGCTGCTGATGACCAGGCATTCCTCTGCCGCGCGCAAAAAAAACGCCGCTACCTGCACGCTCGGAGAAGTCACAGCACAGGGACGCGGAGCCTGTCACGACCTGTGATCACATGACCACGCGACCACAAACTGCATATCGTCTTAGAGCCAACAAGAAAAAAGGAGATGTTGACCTCACAAACATACCGTCTAACGATCTCGCTTGTCTTCATCGGCTGCGTAGGTATGCCTCAACGCGTCATCGGCATCGGCTCTGTGCCGTGCCGCGTGGAGAACTCACCGCTGGCAGCGCGAAGAACGATATTCCTAGTAAGGCACATGCAGACGCGATGAGCTTGCCCTTCCACGTGATGGGGACAATATCGCCGTAGCCGACTGTGCAGAGCGTCACCTGCGGGGAGAATGCGACCGATGCTGTCACCCTGCAAGCCTCAGGCGCGGCCATGGGTCGTACTACACGTTGGGCACAATTATCACACTTTTGAGCTTCCATCTAACACGAGAATTTGGCTGACCGCTAATTCTGGTGATTTTTCACAACCCAGCAAATAAAACTTAGTTAGCTCACATTAAGCATGCATAAAATCGCAACTTTCAAAGCGCACTTGGCAAGCTGGTAAAGGAGATAACTTGAAGTTTGTCGTTAATTAACGTTAGAGCCTGCAAGTCGGAAGAAACAAATACAAAGAAAATGACTGAATATTTGTTCTCCATTTCAAATAGATACCCCAGTTCTTGTACAGATTAAAACGCTCCCTTAAAATAAAAACCCGACAAAGTAAAACACCGATTCAGCTCAGGTCACTGATCGCATGCGAACACCATTTTTACTTACTACGCCCCACCACAACGCGTCAGCGTATGACGAGAACTGCTCCCCATTCGAGTCCTTCTCAGCTAGATAAACAAGAAATGAGGCGATGATGAGACCTAAAAACCCGATGTATAATGTCGTGATGAGTTCCTGCAAAAACGGCGAGAACGTTACTGGAGGTGTGCATCACTACCTTGGCCAACAGCATCACAGGGGAACAAAGTTCAATTCCTGTAACGTGTTAACAACCAAATACAACGGGCATCCGCAAGAATAACCAGACCAACTCATGCGTTCCCACAAACATCCAGACTTCTGAAACACCGACTCATTACTAGCGGTAGCAGTCCGATGCTAACGGGCTGCAGCCGCGTGGCATCGACCACACCCTCGTCAATTACCGACGTCCAAGTCCACGCGCCGGCGTCCGCGCGTCCATTCCGACGCGTCGCCGACGAGCGTGGCTCACCTGCCTGTGGGCGTACACGACGGACCCGAGCAGCTTCCACGTGCCGCCTCGTCGGTCCATGCGCACCATGCGCAGGATCTGGAAGAAGCGCAGCACGCGCAGTGCCGAGGCGGCGAACACCTGGCCACCAGTGACGAGGCCCAGCACGCCAGAGCCCAGCCCCAGCACGACCAGTGACGCTAGGATGGTCACCATGTCTGCCAACGGCGAACGGTCGTCACCATGTCTGCCAACGACGAACGGTCGTTACTCTGTCTGCGAACGGCGGACGGTCGTCACCATGTCTGCCAACGACGAACGGTCGTTGCTGTGTCTGCGAACGGCGAACGGTCGTTACCATGTCTGCCAACGACGAATGGTCGTTACTATGTCTGCGAACAGCGTCCGGCGATTACTATGTCTGTGAACGAATGGCCACGGGCCGCTGGACCGTTCGTTGCCAAGCCATGCCTTGTCATACCACGTTAGTCATACCTTGGATTGTTCGGCTGCTTCTTCGTAAAGAATAGCAGCACGTATGTTGCGGCACGAGTTTACTAGACACCCGGACGAAAATTGAATCGTTCTTAGCCAGAAGCTGGCTTACACCACACCATGTTTAAAAAACAGCGTGGGTGGTTCACCACCCCAGAGACAATATACACCTTTCAGTGCATGCTTTCGGGGTTGTCTCCATAGACATGACAGGTTGCGGCCGGACACGGACGGTGTCTGCGGACCTCACCAGAGGCGGACTCACCAGTGTCTGCGGACCTCACCAGAGGCGGACTCACCAGTGTCTGCGGACCTCACCAGAGGCGGACTCACCAGTGTCTGCGGACCTCACCAGAGGCGGACTCACCAGTGTCTGCGGACCCCACCAGAGGCGGACTCACCAGTGTCTGCGGACCTCACCAGAGGCGGACTCACCAGTGTCTGCGGACCTCGCCAGAGGCGGACTCACCAGTGTCTGCGGACCCCACCAGAGGCGGACTGCCACGCGGGACAGCGGACCGATTGACGGGACCCGCGCGCCGGCCCGCCGTGTCCTGGCCCGCTGCCACTCTCCCTGGCACGTGGCATCGCCGCCGTCTCCCCATGCATGAGCGCCATGGTAGGGCCATTTTCTGATTCAGCGAACCAGGAAATGTGCGGTCGCCGATGCTCTGTCGCGTGCAAGTAGCATAACCCCGAGCCGGGGCGGGGTAGAGCCGACTGTGACATCGGGCTACGGAACGCTCGCAAAGCCGGCCGCTATCTCCAAAAGCTTAAGCATCTGGCTGCGCGCATGTCACATATATCGGTTCAACGATAAAATTTGGTGCTTCTAGAGAAATTATTGTAAATTATTGATATAGCTATTGTAATGCAAATCCAGAACAGCAATTACATTTTTCTTGGTCATTTCACTTTTTTGCTCTCTAGTCCATCACATCCCGCTCACTGGAGCCGTAAAATGGCTGACACAAATAACAAACATGCATCTGAAAAGGTGTACGCACATACACCCAACTAAGTACTTAATCACAAAATGTAACACCCTCAAGCCTGATGTCATGCGGCTAGGCATAAACGAAATCTGAAGTGGCATTAGAATATTTCAGTTGAAATCAATCTTGCGATATTTAACCAGCATATCCACTTCGTCTAGCAAATATTGTGATGCGTCTCAAATATATCAAAATGTACTAGCATTCATGAATTAAAGCGATCCTAACTCTACAATTTAGGCCCTATTAAATCCCACTTAGTTGGATGTTTAAAGAGATAGCGGCCTTTGCCGAAATCACGAATGAGCTCTGATGCCGTTTAACGCTGCTGGAAACCAGTTAACTTCCCTTAAGCCACGCAATAACGTCATTGCCATCCAGTTGGATGCTGGTTGGCGCGGCGAATTTAATGGCCTCTGAGCCGGACCAAGCGTGGCCAATTACGCTGCCATGGGCTCTGTCAAGGCCGGAACTCTGGCCAGGCACACAAGTTCTGTTGCTAAATACCCGGACAGGTCAGAACTTTCAGCGCTGACGTCGGCAGCAGAGGAACAGTCCACATGCGATTGTGCAGGTCAAATACCAGGACGTGGCAAATCTGTTATCGCTGACCGTACAATTGTGCAACTGACGTACACTGACGTACAATATTCAATTTGTGTCCTTGTATATACCTCCAAGGCACTTGCAGTCATGTTCTGTCATGTTTTCAGGCTCGGCTACGTAGAATAGAATTATACCGTGCACGCATGATGCTGATGGCGCAGCAGAAGTTGTTTTCATTGGAAGGGGGTCTCTGCTACTGCAAATTGGCGCGAGGAAAACGCGAAAATGTCGACGCCCCGCGTTATATGTTGCGCTGGGTTCAACACGAATCCTAAGCTGTTCCCGTCTCACGCTGGACCGGGTGGTGATGTCATGAATAGCGGCGTAAGTTAAACCATTAAACAACCTGAAATCTGCTGGGATCTGCTCGGCTTCGCTGTTCCACACAGTTAAACGCCATTGGAAGCTTCGTCAGGCGAGAGTGCAGTACTGCTAGGTGCAGGACAACCCCACTGCGCGTTCTCCGTACGTGCAGCATTGGGCTAGCATTAGCTTTTGTGTTGTTTCTTCAACAAAATGAAGCCCACGAGGCCATCCAGCATACTATGCTTTGTACAGGCGAGCCGTTCTTTTCACTTTTACCGTCTCACATGTGCTCGCATGAACCCCTTTCCAATCCCTTCCGCATCTCTGCAAGATGCTGGGCATCCCAAATCAATATACCCCATTTAAAATGATGATATCTCATTGATTGAGCGCCCGATATCATTCATTCATTATATTTATCCTATCCATATTGTAAATATTGGGGATTGAGCCATGAACATAGGGTGCATCCAATAATTCAGTCTCCAACATGGCACAGATTAGTAGGGATGAGTAAACAAACTTGCTTAGTCACGTCGAACTCGGTTTTCTAATTTCACCTCGCTCGGCGCACTCGCCCAATCTCAGTCTCCTAAACTTCAAGCGAGCGTTCAGTAATATCATACACCGGATATCGTACGGCGCACGTGCTCGGCGTGGGCCAAGAGGTGCGCCACCATGTGCATTGAAAGGGAAGGAGGACGCATGGAGTATGAAATTCGTGAGTAACAGACTTCAGCGAGGGTTCTATAATTGCATGTGAAAAACATGTTTGCATCATGCCTTGGAAAGTATATATCACGTACCTTTTTATATTATTTGCGCATTTCAAAATTTCTTCAGAAGTGAAGGAGTGGTGAACAAAAAAGTGATATACGTATCCGGAAATCCGGTACAACCTGATTTCAAGCGTGCCTGACGTCCCTGATTTCACGGGGGAGTGGGGCAGCATGTAGCCCATCATCAAACAGCTGCTGAGCATCAACCCGAGCATCTTTCACCGACGCTCATCGCGGGCAGCGCACCATCAGCAGCCGTCTGCAGCGAGCATGCCACAAAACTACCGACTTTCCGAGCTATCAGTGTCCCGATGAAGCCCTGGCCAATACCAGGTTTGTCCTCAGCACACACAGAACACAGCAAACATGGAGGTCCTTTGGCTCGTGGAGGAGTTGCTACACGAATATAGCGGTTACACATTTCGTTATGATTATTCCCTTGGAGAAAACATAAACCTGTCTAGGTTCTACAAATGACCGACGGTTTCTGTTGCGATGGACACACATGGGCCGCCTTCATACATACCAATTACCGTAAATCAATACGTTTATCAGATGAGAGCAGAGTGTGTGCCCCGGAGCTGCCGCCGATCCTGCCCTCACTGGCCCCCACAAAACAAGATAAACCTTCAGCGCACAAACATATGGCTGAATAAATGGTCGCGTCCCGGCTTTTACCCAGCGGCTTTAGTCATTCCTTAAAGATACAATCGCCCAATCATGCGGAGAATGCCTGACACACACTGTTCACCTCATCAACACCACAATAAATAATTGCGCCCTGGATATCAGACTGCGTTGGAAGTTATTAAAAGTGTCATGCAACACCAATACATTTTTCAGCCCAGTGCAGCCATCATCCTCTTCCGGACTCAGAGATTTCCGCACTAATTACCAGGTCCTTGCGCTCTTTCCTCCTATCCGCACTGTACCCCCCCCCCCCCCCCCCCCCCTCTCTTCCATCGCATCACGTGCTTCATCTAAAAGAGCGCTTCCAGTAGAACCGGCCCAAGATGCGCCGGGACGTTGTCCTCAGGAGATCAGCGCTATGCTCTGGCATCGACGACACCGATATCACGAATCGTAACCTTTTTGAGAGCACCTCGCTCGCCCGCTCCCACCATCTCTGCCAAATGTAATTCAAACATACCAAATTCAAATAAAACTCTATCAATTTCTTGTTGCGCGTATCGCATGTCAACAGCTGGAAGTCCTCCCAAGTAAAAGATCGGTTATACGACCACCCGCTTCCCATGGGGCTGAGGTCATACCCATCAGCTACCCATTCATTTTCTGGTGTGCCCACACGTTGCCCTCCCGTTTGAATTCATCCACTCCTTGGGCTCTTAATTATGAAAGAGTATCAGTAGCGTTTACGCATAAACTGCACATCAAACTGAGTAAATTGCGTCGCACAGTGCGTTCATAGTTGCAAAAGTGGTGAGATCTTTTTGTTTGCTACAGAATTATGCCTTGAACTGGAATCAACGGCAAAAAGTGGAGTCAGGATCCATATACCAAGCACTGCTCATAGTGAGCTCTGATCACGGAAGTCCACCCAATCAAAATAATGGAGTTATTTTTAATAAGCTAATTATGATTAAGAGACGAGGAAGCAGCAATCTTGTGTAATATTGATTTTATTCTACACCTGATGCTTTGCGAGGGCCTTGTCCATACGCGTAACCACCCCAATTCGTTTTCAAAATATATGCCTAACTCAACCCGCTACCCGTTCCATAGGGCAGCCATGATCTTACTCGCGCTACGCAAATCGTCTGTTTCAACTTGATATTTGTACATCCCTCAGGTCATTCGTTTTCCTGTTTGGCGGCATTTCTCTTTGACTTCTAGCTCTACTTAAAATTGGGCGATGCCATTGATAAACGGTTTCTCGTCCCACTCCATTAACAAAACAAACAAAAAACAACACGTTAGAAGTTTTCTTCATGAGGTGAGCAACCATCTTTTCAAGTTTGGACTTTCCCAGGATTGAAACCACAATCGCCTCAGACTTCTTGCTTTAAAGGATTGCCGGCCTTCCACTTGGTTTCGACTGCGGACTAGTCAGAAGAGACAGGGAAATCTCTGGTGCCGCAAGCCTCGGCACAACAGCAACAGCTATGTGAAAACCCGTCACTGCAAGCGGGCTGAACCAATCATCGCGCGCTGCACGCACCAAAAAGAAAAAATCAAGACTTGAAATGAAACGCGGAGGAAGGCTACGGCGTTGAAAGAGAATAACTATGTAGGCTGCCGCAAAACAGGCTTGCCCAAAGATGGTGACGGACTGTTCTATCCAGACAAACCCGATTTCATTCTATGCGCTTCACAAATTCCCGTACACGCACAGAAAGGCGTGTAGCGCCGTGTGCGCTCGTGTGCACACAAACACACACACACACACACACACACACACACACACACACACACACACACAACACACACACACCCACACACACACACAACACACACACACCACACACACACACACACCACACACACACACACACACACACACACACACACACACACACACACACACACACCACACACACCACACACCACAACACAGTGTGAAGTGCGAACTACACGTGGTGCAATAAAACATCAGATATCGAGCGATCATTGAGGCAACATTTGACACTTCAGAGAGCTTTCGGAGACGGAACGCAGACCGCGTAGAATGAAATTATCTTCATTGAAAATCTCCCAACTCACTCGTGCTGGCATTTTCTGCTGCCAATGGACACGGCATCGGGACAAATTGGACATTGTAAAACAGCGCCATTACAGCAGGCATTGTGAGGCATACCAGCGATCCGGTGCATTATATCGCAACTTCATGCGATATAATGCTCAACTTCAACGCACGACTTACGATAGACACAAGTAAATAATTACCGTTGTGAGCGCCATTTCGGTAAATACTTAGGGCGAGAAACTACAGTGAAGCTTAAATGCTTATCTAACGAGAAAAAGCAGCCTGGTGATGCGTCAGTATATTACGGCAAAGGCTGACGCTTCATGTAGGCGTGCCAAATAAGGAGATTTGGGGATTTTCGATATCTGAAACATTGGTATAAAGGTTAGATAACATAATTGGAATGGGTTTTGAGACAAATATCAAAGTCCTTGAGATGAGATTTGAGAACTAAACACTACAACGTTTGTTCATGACATCAACACACGGGGTGCAATGAGGGAGTAATGCCCCATGTAATGCGCCAAAATATGAATGACAATGACGTGCGTTGCACAGAAGTATTATTTTACTCATCAGCACCGACCGAATGGACAGCGCGATTAATACGATTTGTGGGCAGCATAATTTGGACTGATATGAGCATAATCAATGAGATCGTTTGAATGTTAACTTTTCGAATGCTGAAGAAAGGCCTTGTTCGTTGTTGTTGCTGATTAACTTTGCAAATATATGCATGTAACAACTATTTGTTTAACCATCAACTCGTTTCCCAAATCCCCACTTGATTAATATGCCCATATCTTACTCTTGCGACGGCACAAGAGACACTTACCCTCGCTTTCAAGGAGCACAGTTCTCCCATACCGGAGCCGGGATTTTCTCGACCAGCGGGTCAAACAATTTAATCAGCGCAGCAACTTCGGCAGTACAGCACCAACCAGACCGAGGTAAAGTCATCAGAGCCTTGGCTTTAGCGTCTTCCTCATTCCAAGCCCGAAGGAGCGCACGCCGGGGTCGCCAGAATAGAACGGGTGGCCGCCGCAGCGCTGCTTTGGGCGTCTGCCGGACGGCCAGAGACGCGCCGGCCCGTCTGGCTGCCTCAGCACTGGTGAACACTTGCCTATGATGCAGAACGGACGCTGGATGAACTTGAGCCGACCCCACCAGCCCTGGTACCGCGACCGGCAGCCGGACGACCACAGCCTGGGGAGGTACGTAAGGGGCAGTCAGGCGCTGTGCCACCGACCGTGCTGCCCGCCTGGTGACGGAACCACCACACTATGCATCACACGGGGCACATTCAACCAATTCGTCAACAGCAAAAACAACAACGATGTCAACTCAAGCCAACATGGTCAACTCGGTCCAGCTCCGCATCATGGCTAGTTTCATTCAAAGCTCCGTATCATGGCTATCTTATATCATGCCTAAATGGCGTGTCAATGCTGCGTAGGGCAAAACATTGACCTGTAAGTCGTGAGCAAACACACGTGGGCTCACATGCTCGGCTCATTGTCCCACAAGCCCACAAGCTCTGTCTCACAACCTCACAAGCTCAGCCCACTACCTCGCAAGCTCACGAGCTCTGGCTTGTCCCGCGCTGACAGACCCGTCAGGACAGCGCGTGCCGCCATGGAAAACACGACCGAGATAATGATTTTCCACACAGCCGTCACGCGATTATATTGCAATCGCATGCGAGTTAGCCCGATGAGAAATTAACTAGCACGATTAAAACAGCTCGACGACTTCTCTCGTCCTCACTCAGATCCTCAGTCTGGAAAACCCATCCGAAATCTGTCAAACAATATGTTGCAAAATAGCCATGCCCGGCTGTACATAATGGTATTCAGACGGAGCATCAGAGTATGACACCGGCCGCACAGCGACAAAACCGACTGCACGACGAGTGACAGCAGGAAAACACGCGCGGAGAAACTCGACCCTCCGCCGCCGGCGAGCGCACGGGGTGTGGCCCGACCGGAGCGAGCCGGCGGAGGATTCACGACGAGATTGAACGCGGCCGGGCAGGTCAACCGGTCAGTGCCGCCCCCTGAGTCGACCTGGCCCAGCTACAGCGGAGCGGGGGCGGCCCGAGCCGGCGCGGCGCGGCGCGTTGCGTGACTGCGCTCGGCGATGATGGCCAGATTTATTCCCCGGAGCCGGACGACGACAATCCCTGAGTGACAAATCATCTGTCTGAAACGGCGGCTCAATAACGGCTCGAGTGGCGTTCTCCACAGTCGTTAGGCGGCCGACATAATGAGGCGTGAACGTGCAGTCCTACGCGGATGTCCGGCGGCGCTCTCGAGCCGCACGCCGCGCTGTCGGAGCCGATCTGTCGGACCTCGCCGGCCAGATTTCCGTGTTAGCGGCGTCGGCAGCGCCTGTCGCCGGGCCGAAAATAGCCGGCCGTGATATGAAGCAGGTCGAGCGGAGAGGCCGCTGCGATTAGACGCGATTATGCGCGGCCGCGGCATGGGAGCGGCCGCCGGCCCCCGCGCCCCGGCACACCGCCGGCGCCCGCGCCCCGGTTCACCGCCGGCACCGCAGCGCCTGGGGTCGAGTGAGCCGCGAGCCGGGTCCTCTCGGCCGGCTGCACACGGTGCCGCGTCGCCAGCACAGCCGTTCGCCTCAGCAGCCGCCTACTCACGGGGCAGACGGAGCGACAGGTCTGGACCGGTCCTGACGGCGAAATCTGAACCGATACCACGCATTCTCGATCGAGTGCGCACGGAAGGCACGGGCGCCGTGTCGTCTTGTCAGGAGCGGCGGGAGGCCGAGTGCCAGTCAGATCAGCGTTCGAGGCCTGGCGCTGTCTCAGGCGTCCTCGCAAACACATGCATTCGGCGGATGTGTGTCCACGTGGCTAAGCCATCATTGATGGATGGATGAAGATTACTCCGTCCCGCGTAGAAGATATTCTAGTTATAAAAAGTTTGCTGAGGCACCACAATCCTTAACCAGAACAGGTGCAGGGGGGGGGGGGGGGGGCATAGCGATTAGGACGCTTGGCTCTGAATCTGTCGATTTTTGGTTCAAGCCCGTGCCATGCAACCACTGCACCGCACATGATTAGGACGCTCGGTTTCTAGACCTGTCAATTTTTGGCTGAAGCCCGTGCTACGCAACCACCGCATCGCACATGATGCCTAATAAAGGCATCCGTCTCGAAACGGCCGTGGCAGTTGGTGAGACGTAAAACCCCAATCTTTAATATTATTAACAGCTGCAAGCCAATTCTTTATCTGACACGGGCCATACTGGCCGTTTCAAACAAAGCTTATTTGTCAGCGCTCACGCCTCCACACAACTGGCTTTCAGGCCCTCCTTTCAGCTTAGATTAAGCTTATTGATGATCGAGAACGGTTTCAGCTGTCGAGGAAGCCGCCTCGAAAATATTTTGCCGCTACTAAGCGAACCAGTGAGCGTTGGAATCGATGACAACCTTCGGAGCGGCCTCGCCCTCGGGACGTCACGGCGCGCCGTCTTGTCATGAGCATGACGACGCAGGCAGGTGCCCGGCACGACGTGCGAGAAAAGTGCGATTATTACAAATGTGGGAAGATATGCAATGTAGTTGGTAGCGAGCCATAGCGGATGGGATCAGCAATCTTTGAGGACCCGCACATATAGGTCGCGCGTGTGGTTTGCAGTGTTCGTCTTTCATGGGAGAGAGCTCAGCACGGGGGTAGCTTCACTGATGTGGAGTTTTGTAGCCAATTTGGCCGGCATATTTCTTGACAATTTGAGAAGTGACTGAATGGAGCGCTTTGCAAACTACAATGCACAAAGGACGTGAAGACAAAGGTCCGACTAATTTTTTCCATCGGGGTTAGCTGTTTGTCCTAACGAACTGGGCTTCACTCAAGTGCATTGCTTTTGAAGCGACCTCTACCGGCTTAGGCCATGGTGAATTCCTTCCATGGCAGCTCCCAGTTGGTTACTGGCTTCGCCAAAGTCCAATGGCGCTGAAACCGTCTGACGGTTGTATACGGTGCATTGGCCTAACGCAACGTATCTCGTCGTTTCCGTCTTAGTTGGCCTGGTGGCCGGAACCTGACATTTATTTTAGCAGGCGTCCAAAGAGTTGCTTGAGCCAAGGTTTCCGCTCGAATACACGTGACAGACTGCTCATTTCGGCCGCACGTTTACCAGTGCGGCTGCTCTAGCTCTCTCTCTCTCTCTCTCTCTCTCCTCTCTCTCTCTCTCTCTCTCTCTCTCTCTTCTCTCTCGCTCTCTCTCTCTCATCTCTATCTCTCTCTCTCCTCTCTCTCTCTCCTCTTCGCTCTCTTCTCCTCTTTCTCGCTCTCTCTATATCTCTCTCTCTCTCTCCTCTCTCTCTCTCCTCTCCTATCTCTCTCTCTCTTCTCTCTCTCTCTCTCTCTCTCTCTCTCTCTCTTCTCTCTCTCTCCCGTCCGTCAGACGGCGATCAACTCCGGGTGCTGCACACGTCATTCACCAAAGCAGCGGTCTGAATTCGATTGCCTCGAGCATCCCTTCCATAAGCAACAAATTTTATATCTTAAGTTAACGTCTTGCAAAACTAGGCTATCGCCCATCCGATTCAAATAACTTTGATCGAACAGTTGGTCTGCAAATGCTTTAAGCAGCATGCATACCGACACATCTGTCAAAGGATTTCTCTACCTGTCACTGGAGACGGTGGCCGCAAAAAGATAATCTTTCCAGAAAGCGTGACGGATGGGCCTGGTGGTCCGGGGCCGGGCCGGGCCGCTCAAGCTTGTAACATTCATCATTGTTTCAGGTGGCACCCGCAAGGCTTCTGTCATAACAAAGGCAGATGCAACGAACATATCAGCACACATTTGGGTGTGCCTCGGATTTGCTGCTTGTGGCCGACGAACCAGGCTTGCATCAACGGTGTTTTGGATAGCCCACAAAGCCGTTCGTAATCATGCGGGACAGCTTCATGAATGCTCCAGGAATCCCAGAAATAGTGGTTCCTTTGAGACTGATGAAGAAATCATCGAAAATGTTGTCTGGTCCCTGTATTCTTGTGAAGAATTCGCTTCTGTCATAGATGATGCTCCTTCGGCGCCTCAGATCCAGCTCTATTTTCTCGATGGTCACAGAGATGTCTTAACTACTTCCACTCTCCAAATCAAGGCCGTGTTGTATAATACGAAACCATTCGGAGTCAAGCACTGGATGAAAAGCTGCCTGCTGCTTTCCTCTGGTCAGCGCAGATATTCCGGTAAGCAGCAGGTGGTCTTCCCCTTTCCGCTCCCAAGTGGCGAGTTCCCTGAGACTTGCCGTCACGCACAGCACCGGAACAGACGCAGCCGATGCTGGAAGACGTGGCGCACGAGTAGCTATTGCTGGTACTGCTGTGCTTGCTGACCACGGTGACGTCTCGATGGCGGGACTGGTAGAAGCTGACTGGAGGGACCTCAGTGTCTCTACCAGTAGCGTCGTCAGCTTTTCTGTGCGTGGGCTGGCAGGCTCTTCACGCATATTTGCGGCTTATTCGCGGTGTCTGGCGGCTTCCAGTTGGACCTTCATTAGTTGCATGGGACTATTGATGGAATCGGTCACTTCTTTCACACAGACCATTTTGGTGTCTTGTGAAAAAAACAAGCCACGATTTTCTGGTTGGCGATCTGCTTGTTCGCGGTTGTCCGCTGCGCCATGTTGTGGTCGCTTCTGCTCACTGTTCTGTGTTGGCCAGCCCTGCGACACTACGGTCACTTCGATTTACAATCTCCACGTCTCTGATCACTGCAGCGAGACGGATAACTGCACGCTACCCGAGCGCGCTCCCGACCAGGAGTCCGTTCTCCGACTTATGCTGATGTTGGTTGGAGAATTTGTTGAGACGCTATTCCATTCTGAACAAGCCCCGAAAAGTAATGTTGAAACGTTTTATCTGGATTATTTAACTGCCGTCCCAAAAGCGAAAAAATAACATAGCACTCTAAGCATTTTAGTGAGTTTAGCACAAGCATTAGTGCCTGGGTCGAGAACCTCCAGAAGTGTCAGGCCGACGTCATTACTGGCAAAAGAAATGTTCATGGCGGCAGGCCAAACTTCTTTGCGAACTATTTCCTGTTTCGAGACAACGCAAGTGTAGTTCTCACATGCCTCGAGAGCGGTAAACTGCCTCGGTCGAGATATCGCGCAAACTTAATTCGTTAAAGATACAGTTAACTTACGCTTAACGTTGTATGCTGCTGTTTGTC